TTAGGAATCAAATTCCTGCAACCAAAAAGGAACCCAACGGATAATATTGCTTTGCATCTTTCTTTCTTGGCTTTGCATCTTTCTTTTCTAACAAATACTTAATAGCAGAGTGATCAGTGTAAACTATTGTTTTGGCTCCAATTAAATAAGCCTTAAACTTGTCAAAAGCAAAAAAAATAGCTAGCAGTTCTTTTTCAGTAGTGGCATAATTTAATTGCACATCATTTCATGTGCGACTAGCATAATAAATGATGTGTAACTTCTTTTCCTTTCTTTGCCTAAGAACAGCTCCAACAGCATGATCACTAGCGTCATATATAAGCTTAAAGGGAAGAGTCTAATCTGGTGTAGCAATGATAGGGGCAGAGATCAGCTCCTTCTTCAACCTGTTAAAAGCATTTAAACACTCTTTGTCAAAATTAAAAGGAATATCTTTAACCAATAAATTACAAAGAGGTTTTGTGATTTTAGAGAAATCCTTAATAAATCCCCTGTAGAATCCTGCATGGCCAAGGAAGCTCCTTATTCCTTTTACTGAATTAGGAGGAGGTAGCTTTTCAATTACCTCGATTTTGGCTTTGTCTACTTCAATTTCAATTCCTTTTTTGGAGATTTTTATGTTCCTAGGGACAATACCTTCACTAACCATAAAAGTGACACTTTCCCAATTCAAAAACAAGGTTTAGGTGTCCCTCGCATTCGTTGCATTACTAAGGATAAGTAATTAAACACATGCATTCAAAAAGCGAACCAAATTTACAGAAAAAATCATCCATAATATTTCCAATAAATCTCTTACCATGTCAGAAAATATGACTCATGCATCTTTTAAAAGTTGCAGGAGCATTGCATAGTTCCAAAAGCATTAATCCTATAGGCAAAAGTGCCAACAAAAGGGCAAGTGAAATGCGTTTCTAATGATCTTCTGGAGCCAAATTAAGGTATTTGAAGAATATCCTGAATAACCATCCAAAAAACAATAATAGGGATAACCTTGCAAGTCTTTTCAAGCATTTGATCAATAAAGGGTAGGGAAAGGTGGCTTTGCATGTTGCCTTGTTCAACTTCCTAAATCAATGCACCACACGCCACTTGTGACTGTTCGAGTGGCGATTAATTCATTATTTTTGTTAGAGATATAACAGTCATACCTCCCTTCTTTGGAACGATTTGAACGGGACTTACTCAACTACTATCGAAAATTGGATAAATAATGCCAGCATCCAAAAGTTTTATGATTTCAACCTTGACTACCTCCTTTATATTCGGGTTCAATCGCCTTTGATGCTCGATTGAAGGTTTATAGTCTTCTTCCATCAGGATCTTATGCATGCATACACTCGAGCATATCCCCTGTAAGTCTGAAATCGACCACCCTAGTGCTTTCTTATGTTTTCGAAGAACCTGCAACAACCTTTCCTCTTGATCAAGTGTTAAGTGAGAATAAGTGAGAAGAAATAATAACGAGGAAAGAATGAAATTTCTCACCTAAGAATGCATGTTTTTAAATGAGATGGAAGAGATGGAAGTTGTTTCAGTTCTTGCTTTGGTGGTTCACTTTCTTTCTCATTCATGATGCTTGATTCATTAATGTCATCTTTAATATGCAAAGTGTTTTTCCACACATTCATCAACAACATCAATTCGAACGCGATCACTATAGTCCATAGGAAGTTTACAAGATTTAAGAACATCAAAAATAATTTCTTCCTGTCCAACTCTTAAAGTTAATTTGCTTTCATATACATCAATTAATGCTCTTGCAGTTGCAAGAAAAGGTCTTCCAAGGATTAAGGATCCTTCCCTATCTTCATCAATATCAAGAATAACAAAAGGGAAGATGAATTGTTCCTACCTTTACAAGCACGTCTTCTATAATCCTCTTGGATATTGATTGATCGATCCGCTAATTGTAGAGACATCCTTGTTGGCTTAGCTACTCCCATACCTAGCATCTTAAAGACTTCATAAGACATTAAGGTTTAATGGTAGCACCTAAATCTGCTAAAGCTTTTTTCAAAATCAAAGATTACCAATATTGCAAGGATAGAAAAAACTTTCATGGATCTTTCAACTTTGGGGAGTGCATTTATTGAAAAATTTATTTTGAATAATTGCACTACACTCCTCAGTTAACATTACTGTTCCTTGATCATCAATTTGTCGTTTCTTGCTCAGGATATCTTTTAGAAATTTCGCATAACTAGGCATTTGAGTAAGAGCTTCAGCAAAAGGAATGTTAATTTGAAGCTTTTTGAATACATCAAGAAATTTGAGGAAGCTTTTGTCATCTCGTGCCTTTTTTAACCTTTGTGGGAAGGGAACAGGTGGAAGATAAGGTTTCACTTCTTCTTGCTCTTCTAGGTCAATGATGGGAACTTTTTTCTGCTCCTCCGTTTTCTTTTCTTTCTTTGGTGGTTCTTCTAATTGTTTGCCACTTCTCAAGGTGATAGCTTGTACCTGTTCTTTAGGATTTTTTTTAGTATTGCTAGGTAACGTACCTTGAGGTTGGGATTCCATCATGTGCGAATTATTCCTAGGCTGGAAATCTCCAAATTTTCTTATGCAGCTTGCTGGATTTGCTGGTTTTCTCTTGGGTTTACGTTCATGTTCATGAAATCCATATGCGATTTAGAAAGGCCAGTGAGGAGATCATCATGAGATTTCTTCTCTTGAGGAAGGAAACCTGGTGGTGCGTTCAAGGCATTGTTAGGGTTCCCATAGGACAGATTGAGATGGTTCCTCAATCTATTATCATATGAGTTGGAGTAAGGGTAATTCTTCCTTCCTTGGTTCACCACATAGTTTACTTGCTCCAAGGTTTGTGGATTCAAGGAGTCCATCATGCATTCTCCAATTCCATGTTGTCCATTGCACCTATCACAAACTTGCATAATAGAATTCACAGGATTAGTAGTTAACATGTCCAGTTTTTTTCTTACCAATTATACTACTTTGGCATTGAGTGCCTGTAATGGCATCTATTTCATAGACTCCTGCATCTCTCCTTTCAGAGTTGTTTTGATAATGGCTATTGCTTGCCACTCCTTCTATCAATTTCATATGCCTCATCAATCCCTTTCCTCTCGAAAGATCTACCTTACAGCTACATCTAGAGTAATTTTAATGTTAGAGATAATCATTATAGAAAGTTTGTACCTGTAATTCATTTAGGCCAAACTGTATGTGGGCACTGTGATGTGGGCACTTTCTTAATAAATCCTTGAATCTTTCCTAAGCTTCGTACAAACTTGCTTGATCATCGTGGGCAAATGTCATTATCTCATTGTGCAGTTTTGTGATTTTTGAAGATGGAAAGAATTTTGCTAAAAACTTTTGGGCTAATTCTTCCCATGTTGTGAAACTTCCAGCAGGGCACGATTGTAGCCAAGATCATGCTTTGTCCCTAAGAGTGAAAGGGAATAATCTCAATTTTATGGCATCTTCGGAAACATCATTCTGTTTGAAAGTATCGCAAATTCCAGGAAATTTGTGATATGAGCGTTAGGATCTTCAATCTTCACTAGGTAAACCTCCATATTGAATTGAGGTGGAAAGTATTTGGATAATTGCAGGTTTAATTTCATAATTATTAGCTTCCACTCGAGGTCTTGTAATACTTGAGGTTGTCCCATTAAGATTAGGTGTTGTGTAGTCTCGCAAGGTGTGGACCGGATGTTGAGGTGGAGGTCCGTTTTCTATTTTGTCTTCGTTGACCATGTCTGCTTGCTGTTCAGGTTTGCTTTCACGTGTTCTTGTTACGGCGTTGTTCCTGCGACAAGTTCTTTCAATTTCTGGATCAAAGATTAGGGGTTCAGTCCTACCTGATCTTCTTTGCATAAACACCTGAAATAATTCTTTTGACTAATTTCTTTTCTTATGGGTATTCCTCTTTTTCTCTTTTGCTAGTATTAATAGAATTTTCTCCACTTGTTGCGGGTATTCCCGCCTGTCACGCGGGTGACCCGGGTTCGATCCCCAGCAACGGCGCCAAAAAACTTGACAGCTTATTTTCGCAAGTGTACGAATCGCTACAAGTAATATATGATGAGTATGATATCGTTCCTTCGATGATTGTATTCCAATTACCAAAATTATGTTATCTCGTTATTATTTAAACGATAATTGAGAGAATTGTTTTGTAATTATAAAATGAATGAGTAAAGTAAACAAAAATTGATTAAAAGAAATCAAGGAATTGAAACTACTAGGGGTTTTGATTTCACTTAATCCTATCCAATTTATTTCATTAGTTCATTAATTTTTTTTAACAAGCCCTAAACTTAAGGGATTGTTGAAATTTCACTTAATTCTATCCAATTTATTTTGTTAATTTGTTAATCAATTTTAATTGTTTCAAAGGTAGGGGAAACAACCCCTAAAATTACTAAAACGGAAGATCTCCGATGTATTGTTAGCTCATTTAATCTGGTCTAATCATAATCATCTTCCATAGCGCAATCAAATAAATGAATTAAATAGATTTAGGTTTTAATGGTTTTTGTTTTTGTGAAATTTCATACCCTAGAGGTCATTATTTATGAAAAACCCCCCATAAGTCAAACCAAAATATAGCTTCGCATCAAGTTATTATTCTCATATAATTCTATTACCTTTTTTCATATGAAAAACCCTTCTCCTGATAGTTCGGATTAATGAAATAAATCATTCAAAGGGGAGAAACTCTGGCCTGGAAGCCATTAAGTTCAATAATAAATTAATATGCATGAACAAGGAAAAGCAAATCTAAAAGCAAATCTAATATTATAAATTGGAATCAAATTAAGCTACATCAAATCCCTAGTATGAGAGTTTTAGTTCGACATAGTAATTAAATGAAACTCAATAATATCTGAATAAAACTTCATAATCAATAGTGAATAATGAAAAGAAAAAAATGAGATTAAGAGTTTAGAAATAAAAACTAGACAATAAATACGTGGATGGCTTTCTTGAATCTTGGCACAAATCTTAGATTCTTGAAATCTTTGAGAGAGAGAGAACTATGTAGAAAAATAGTAGAACTCGAGATGCCTCTACAATGAATGGTTCCTCTCTTTATATAGACCTCCTGGGAGAAAATCTGACTCCGTTTAGGAAATAAAATCCTTATTCAGTATGAAATCTTCTTTGGAGATCATAAACTGTTTAGCCTTTGGATTTCTTCTTAGTTAGGACTCTTCTCTCTTCCTAAATAGGCTTAGATCTTGTTTTGCACGTTTAGGAAAATATCTAAGGTGGGCCCATGTTGGGCCCATATGAGTTAAAAAGACTAGCTTGCATTTTTATTCAAGACAGCTTTGCCTTCGTAGCACGGGCGTGCGAGATAGAATGGCTTGGGCGTGCTAGAGTTTGAGTCTATGAATGATTCAGCACGGGCCGTGTTCTGTAGCACGCTCAGAGGAGTACTTGTGGCACGGGCGTGCGCCATAGCACGGGCAGGGCGTGCTAGGCTCTGACTTTCCAAGATAAATTGCATCACGGGCGTGCTAGGATAAAATTGCATCACGGGGCGTGCTAGGCAATAGCACGCCCTAAGGTCCTTTAGGCATGGGTGTGCCAATAGCAACGGGCTAAGCCGTGGCTAAGAGTCCTGAGTCTCAACTTGATTTCTCCCTTAAGTTTAGCAGCGGGCGGTGCTAAGGTGCATGGGCTGAGCGTGCTAGAGCTAAGTGTTTATTTCCCTTAAGTTTAGCACGGGCGTGCTAAGGTGCATGGGCTGAGCGTGCTAGAGCCTAAGTGTTTTGCTTTATAATGCTCTTTTCTATGCCAAAATCCTGCAAATTTCTTTAAGATCAAGTGAATTATGATTCAAAGAAGCTTTGAACAAAATTATAATTAAATCGAAGTAAAAATTAATTAAAGTGATAAAATTTACTAAAATTCTAAATAAAAATTATATTAAAAATACTATAAAAATGACACCTATCACAAAACATACTATCTAAATTAAAAGGAAGAATTATCTGTTTTGCCCCTTTTGTTTTTCATCTTATTAATTATTTATTTCCTCTTGTAAGAAATTGAATGATGGGTAGCTAGTAACATATTTGTTCGTCGTTCTAGGAAGAGTACTCTTATATTAGTGCGCAACTCATTATTTTTGCATCTTAAAATTTATTCACTTTTAAAATCAAAAGCCTAATCTTGATTTTTTTTTTTTTTATCATATGAATATTAATTTGGGTTTGATTTTCTTATTTATTATTTAAATGCTTGAGTGATAGCACTTCTTTCTCCTTTAATTCAAACATTACATTTTGCATTTGCTTTTATGGAGTCCCCTTGTACATTATCTTAATCATAATCATAATGTTAATAGTTTCTAAGGTGTAATTGCAATATATCAATAACTTCATGGTGTTTAATTCGCTTTTAGGATGTAATTGCACCTTGAAAGCAATAAAGGTGTAATCACAACTAGGTTGAGAAGTTCAGGATGTCCAAAATATAATATCAATTTAGGGTGAATTTATAACCTTTCTAAAAGTTCCGGATTGATGGTTAGGTCTATATTGAACAATATAGCTAATAAAGATAGTGTTTAAACCTATTTAGTACAATCATGGATCGATTTCAGGAAAGATTTTGCATTATCCATAATTGATCCAATAATAAAAAATAATATCCATCTAGTATCTGCCCCACAGTATATAGGGTTGGGTTCAGATTTGGGTCGAGTCATATCGAATAATATACATAAAATTAATTACTAAAACGAGCCTTTTTTTTCATATAAAAAAGAGAAAAAATTAATGGGATCAAGTTTGGGTTAGCTCGGATCGAATTAATAAAAATATTCATATCTGCTCTATTTATAAAATGAATCAATTTTTATTCAATGGATAGAAGTCGAGTCGTTTTAGGTTCGATTGAAATGAGCGCCTAATCTCAAAATGCTAGATGCTATCTTAAAATTGTTGCCGAATTAGATTTGAAAGTAATCTGAGAAATATAAGAAATTAATTTTACAAAATATTTAACACGGGAAAAAAATTCAAAAGATAATGTATTTTTGTGTTTTGTAAAAAATAATATATAGAAAACTATAATTGGCTAATTATTATTCTAAATTAAGGGTCTTAGTCTCAAAATAACTTTTTTCAACCTCACATTTCTATGGGAACATAATTAACTTTTCCATTATTTAGAACCCAAAAAAAAAAAAAAAGTAGAGTCTATATATTCTAGAAATAACCTTTTTATTAAAATATTTAGAACAAAAAATTAGAGACTATATATTCTAAACTAACCTTTTTATTAAAATATTTAGCTTCCATATATTAACCAAACATAAAATTTTAAAATATTCATTAGCTATTGATTAAAATTATTACCAAACAATTTTCTAATTTTTCATAAATTTTCCACCTCCCATTATCTACTTGTAATTTTTTTTTTTTTTTTTTTTTTTTTAATTTTCCACTCCCATTATCTACTTGTAATTTTTTTTTTTTTTTTTTTTTTTTTTTTGAGTTACGTACATTTCTTTATATTCGGCCAAAGATATATTCAGATAAAATGTTTCAAACAAGTAGCGACTCTATAGTAACTTTTTCAAAACAGTAAGCGGCTCTATAAAAATAAACATTTTGACTTTGCTGATAAAAATTCGTCGGCAAAATGCTCGAAGACGCAATCCATTACTACTTTAATATATATATATATGGAATTAAATATTCAAAAAATGAAAACTAAATTTTTTTTTTTTTTTTTTTTTTGAGTTACGTACATTTCTTTATATTCGAGCCAAGATATATTCAGATAAAATGTTTCAAACAGTAGCGACTCTATAGTAACTTTTCAAACAGTAGCGGCTCTATAAAATAAACATTTGACTTTGCTGATAAAATTCGTCTGGCAACGCAATCCATTACTCTTTAATATATATATATAGGAATCTAAATATTCAAAAATGAACTAAATAAGACATAATGATACTACTTCGATAGCTCATTTCTAACTGCTTTGGATTATAGTTTGTGATTCCTGAAAGAATAAGTATTCTGTAAATCCAATTTGAGAAAAATTATCATTTTAGTTGTTGGTCAAACGTCTATTTAATCAAAAGGCAAATTTGCTTAGACTTGGTAATGCTATTTTAGGAATTATGGAGTTCTTGAGTTGATCCGGTTTTGCAAGTGTTGCAATAAAAAAATATAGTCCTGAAATTTTAATTTCGATATTTCAAAATCTGAATTAAATGAAAATACTTTTTATTCGTATAATTAGTGTTTGAATAATTATTTTCAAAGAAATAAGTATTTTTCAAATGAGGAAAATTTGGACTGTTTAATTATAATTTTTGGAAAGTGTATATATAGTTTATTTTAAATTTTCAAAAAAGCTATATAACTTGGGGATACTTCCAACTTCATTTTGGTTCCTGGCACTTGATATATATATTAAAAAAAAAAAAAAAGAAACCTTACTTTATAAATTGATATTTTGAAAAGAATTTGAATTTAATTAAAATTAACAATATTTGAAATTACAAATCAAAATTCAGTAAATGAATCAAGTTAAAAGCAAAAAATAAAATGGAAATATAACTATTATTATTCATATAAAAAAAAATAAATAAACCATCCACTTTTGTAATGATACAAATGTATGCATATAAAATAAAGGTACTTTAGAGAATTATTTGCACTTTGAATTATATCAACCACTCAAATATGTCTTTTTGGGTTAGATATATGATGATAGATTGATCAACCACTTCGATATGGTGACGGTGTGCAGTCAATACACAACTTAAACAATTTCGCAGCACTAATAGAATTATAATTGATTAAAATATAATTTTATATATATATATATATTCAAATCTATATATTGACTAAAATAAAAATCTTAGATTGGATTTTTATAAAAAAACGGAAATATGTGCCAACCGCAAGGCTCGGCCAACTGTTTCAAATCTCACAAAAATTTTAAACCAAATTCTGACATTTTTTCTGTTGTTATCTTCTTTGTTCCTGTTAAAATTTTCCTGGGTTTTATAGAAAATATAAAGCTCCTGCTACATGTATTGAGATGAAGGAAACATAATCATCCATTCATTCATTTATTCATTTTTCATATCTCAAAATTTTTATTTATCATCCATTCATTTTTCAGCAGTTGCCTACATATATACAGAGATAGTTGACAGGGGAAAGGAAGCCATGAAAGAAATATTGAAAAGAAGAACCTAAGAGCCAACTGACAGCAACATGTTAAACTATAAGTTATTAAAAGGAATAATATTATTCCACAAATATTTAGTTGGTACAGATAATCTCATTGGCAATATGACAAATAGATGATGGAAAAATTGTATAAAGTGAAGAAAGGTGCAATTGAAGCAGGTTTATCCCATAGCATACTTTTGGGTCCAGCTCCTAGCAGTAGAATCGTACTTGACTTTGTCAGTCTTGCACATATGAGCAATTTCAGGAACCAGTGGATCATCAGGATTTGGGTCTGTAAGCAAAGAGCATATGGACAGCAAAACCTACACCAATAACATCACAAAATCTTTAGGAAAAACTAAAAATTTATATTCAATACAATGATTTATAATATAATATAATATTTTATTCGCTTTGTTTTATTTGTTTTCAGCATTTCATTTATAATTATGAATCATCAATCATTAAATTTTGAACTCCAACCATTAGGTTTATCCAACAGTTTTTAATGGTTGGAGATCAAACGCAAAATATTAATTCTTCGAGCCCATGCAGAGACTAGAGACGTTTAATAGTGTACGAACTTATAATTTTACCTTATGGCTTCAATTTACTAACTTAAAAGCTCAAAGTCCTTCTGACCCTTTTTGCAATTATAACCTAGGACAAAATTGGAACAGAAATATTTTGTTATTTTATTACTATGTATAAGGGGTCATTTGGTTCTTGAATTTATTTATAATATTAATTTAGTCTTTCTATTTGGTTAGAGTCAATTTAGTCTTTCATGTGATGTCGAGAAGGTCAGACAAGTCTTCCAATATAAAAACCTTGGATATGGTGAGTGCAGGACTCCATTGTTCTTTGAGTATGTCCAAACATATATTTCCATTGCTATTGATGTTTGGATGGAAAACCTTAGTCCTGAAGGCGACCTGCAATCAACTCATTTACAGGGAAACAAGAAATTAATCACATCAAAACATTATGAAATTCATATTCTGAAGCCCTCTTTCCCTTTCAAAAATTTTTAAAAAAAAAATTATGAAAAAGTTCTGCTTTTTGCATACCTTGGGAGGCTTGAAAGGATAGTCAGGTGGGAAATGAATAGTGACAAGGAAAACACCACCAGCATATGGACTGTCATTCGGACCGATGATGGTAGCTTGCCAGTGGAACATATCCTCAGCTACAGGACCTGAAACATAACAAAAGATAGGCAGTAACTTATATTATAACCTTTAAAAAAAGAAAGAACCAAGATGTTAAAAAGTTCAAACCTTCCTTCCTATCCCCTCCCCTTACCTGCACTGCATGAAGTTGGAGGATCTCTCTGCAAGTCCTTCAGCTCTTTCAGTATTCTTTTTGATGCCATTTAGGTGACAAATGGAACTATTTTCGATATAGTTTTGAAATTCTGAGGAGGATGAGTAAAATACAAGGCAAATGAAGAATACCATACCCTATGAAAAGGAAGAGGTGTATTTAATGGAGATAGGAAAGGAGATGGAAAATGCGGCAGTCCTCCAATTCTTTTTAGACTGATGAAAGTGGGCACAGTATAAATTCCAGAAAAGAATAAAAAGAAAAGGAGCAAGTAAAGAATAATTGGCATTTTTGAAATAAAAAGGTTGAAAGATATTTGTTATTCCGACTATAATAAGAAATCTATTAGGAGAGTATCTGCTTCAATTAATTGGAGAACTCAAAACTCAAATCGAAATTATATTCGAGCTCAATTAAATTTTAAGTTTCAAACTCAAAGTAGATTTTAATTGATACTTGAAACAATCGAGCCCAACTTACTCGATTTGATTATTATTCAAAAAATGAATATTTATTATTGTTAAATAACAATTTGAATAAATATGAATTCAAGTTCTAATTAGCAGATTATTATGTATAATATAAAAAATATTTAGAATTATATGAATTTTAAATGTTATTAAAATCATGAACTATTCAAATCAAATATTATAACACTCAGATTCATTATTCGAGTTACTCAAATTCGAATATTTTACAACCCAAATTTGAATAACTCGAGAATAGCTCGACTCACTTCATCCCTATCAAAGGTGCACTTTTCTCCTAAATAAACCACAAGGTCAATACGATCACAAAAAGAATCAATTCATTCTAATTTTAATGTTTTCTTTTTACTCTAGTCAACACAATCCATTTCATTACACATTATAAATAATAATTCATTGTACAGTCAGTTAGCAAATCCTAAAACAAGAAGCATCAAAAGAGATAGTCCTGTCCCCAGTATCATTGATCACCCATACAAATAGATAGAATTCTATATGCAAATGTCACTTTTAACTTGCATTTCATAAAGACCTTCCAATATGCTCTTCTATGACTTATCTGATATATTCAAATCAAGAAGTAAAATATCCACAGGACACAAAAACCATGTACTAAGAGGAGAAATATTATTTCTAAGCTAATTAGCAGAAAAAAAAAGCATGGTACAAGAATCTGAAAAAGCTTTGAAGTTGAACCACAGAATTTTATATGTAATATCACTTGAACAGAAAATGTATACCATATTTTCTCCACTATAGATTTGCTTCTAGACACATAATATTCTTTCTTGTTTTCCCCAGACCAATCTTCCTGGTTTTAAAGTTCCTGTAACTCATCATTTAAAATACATGCAAAGAAGAAATAAGCTAACAATGAAAATGAAGAAGAATATATATTGGCAATATTTTCTATAGTTTAACAAACACCATAACTATATTAAGTTTTTTAGGTGCACTAAATCAAGTTACAGATACATAATACAAGAGGAAACAGTTTAATATTTCCCAAAAGTAACTTTCCCATCTCCAATCAATACATGCAGATTGACCTAAAGAAACAGGAGCATGCATGTTAACAAATATAATGATTCAATATACAGATTGAAACGCAACCATAACGCAACAAACTCACAACTTGATGCTTATAATGTGCTTCCTATTTCTGTCAGTAAATACTACGACCAAATCCCGTTGCGGAGTCAAGGTCGGAAAATGTAAGAGAGATGGTGAATGACTAACGGGATCAATGCCTACAGTTGGTCATATTTTCTTTTCCACAATTTTGTTTCACGATCACAATATGGAGCATGTCTTTTGTGCCTTCCTTTTCTTTTTCTTCTTCTGTTTTGGTGGCTGGAGAACCACTTTAATGGCTGCATCAAAGACTGCTTTCACATTCTGTATTTGAAAAGGGTGTGGGAAATAAATTCATCAGCAATGAGGTAAGCACTACCCTTCCTTAAAGAGTGTAAAAAGAAGAATATTATTTATACACCTGCTGAGTTTTAGAACTACACTCAATGTAAACAGGAGCTCCAATTAGCTTTCTCAGTTCCTCCCCCTATCAAAAAAGAGAGAAAATCATTCTCATATGGGCTGAGATGACAGTGATCAAACACATGAAGAAGCAAGAAAGTAACAGGTTTAAAATGAGACAAATAGAAAATAGTACCTGAGCTGTGGTGATGGGCACTGCACCAGGGTGATCTATGAAGAATTGCTTATCATCTCGGAGATCTAGAAGAAGAAGCAAATTTAGCTGTAATGAAACTTGGTTTTATTGATGAAGCCTAAAAAGAGTAATAATACATTGCATATCAAAGGCTTCATCTAACCATTAAGAATAATTTGGCAACTAACATCAGCTAGGATCAAGTATCATGGAAGTTTTCTTTTTCAAAATTTTTTTTCATATTAATGATCAGAGAAACTAGAATTTTTATTTAAAAGATATGCACATATCCAACTACATCGACAAGCATATGATTGTGGAATTCCAGCAGAATCAGTAAAAACTGTAAGATATGCCAGATCAAACAATCAGATCAATAGGTAATAGTCACCATTTCTCATTAAAATCAAATATAGAAGAGAAAGAGAGGCTCCAATTCAAATTCATCAAAGAATAGTCATAGAATTTGTGTTTTTTAAGCATGAAGAGTACATAAAAGTATTTACTTGCAGCACCACAGAAAGAAGAGACTTTCAGGATATCTCCATGAAAATACTCACTTTCAAAATGACATCTCCGTGAAATTTTATTACCATTATCAAAAAAGAAGTTACTATAAAACAATTGTTTTAATTTTTCAATCTTTTCAATGGCTCCCTTAGGTCATTATCCAAGAAGGTTAGGGACTGCTAGTTTCCTTCCATTATGTAACCTTAGCAGGTCTATTGAGTCCATTTTTCCTAATACCCCATCTAATTTTATAGCTTTGAGAATCTAACAAGATTAATTGATCTGCATATCACTAGACCATCTTCTAAGGTCATTACCAATAGCTTGTAGATGTTTCAATTCTAGTTTTTGTTTTCTTCAAGTTGTAATCCTATAATCATATGGATTATTTACACTAAGATGCCTATACACAAAACAAGGACATCTTTGAAATAAGTCAGAATTGTTAAAATTTTGCAAAATAAAAAAGCCTGCCCCTCAGCGTACTAATATTCCATGCTCTATTTTGGTCCTGGTAACATAGGTCATCCTTATTCTTTAATATACTACACTCCTTCCAGTTATTCTGAATTTAATCAAAATGGACTTTACGTGCATGTATTCAGATGTAGACAATTGTTACTTTAAAGAAATATATAATTTAGCACTCATGCATGTCATTTAATTTTATAAAGCTCTTTAGCCATTTCCCAATTATGTAGGGAGAGCGAATGCTAAGAACTTAAACATCTCTACTGACTTTAAGCATCATTGCCTAAGATTCATACATGTAGAACCATGCAGTTCCGTTGGATGCTGTCTAACCATCCATAACTAGGACCAACAGTTGATCATGTCAAGGAAAATGGAATATGTAACAGATGCTGTCTAACCATCCATAACTAGGACCAACAGTTGATCATGTCAAGGAAAATGGAATATGTAACAGAATTCAATTGATCAAGTCTCTTGCAAGAAAAATGAAATCAGATTCTAGCGCAATATTTTCTTGACAAAAAGTTAGAGCATACTGAGAATTCCCCTGATATTGAACAAAAATTTTCACTCTCATATCATCATTTTTCAAAAGTGAATTAAACAGTCCTTGATTCTTCAAAAGTGAATTAAATAAATATCTGTACTGATTTTAAGCATCATTGCCTAAGATTCTCACATGTAGAACCTCACAGTACTATTAGATGCTGTCTAACCATCCATAACTAGGACCAACAGTTGATCATGTCAAGGAAAATGGAATATGTAACAGAATTCAATTGATCAAGTCTCTTGCAAGAAAAATGAAATCAGATTCTAGCGCAATATTTTCTTGACAAAAAGTTAGAGCATACTGAGAATTCCCCTGATATTGAACAAAAATTTTCACTCTCATATCATCATTTTTCAAAAGTGAATTAAACAGTCCTTGATTCTTCAAAAGTGAATTAAATAAATATCTGTACTGATTTTAAGCATCATTGCCTAAGATTCTCACATGTAGAACCTCACAGTACTATTAGATGCTGTCTAACCATCCATAACTAGGACCAAAAGTAAGTGATGGTGAGGAAAATGGAAGTTGTAACAGAATTCAAGGTTTTTCCATGGTAAAATTAACTGGGTGAAATGAATTCTAAGTACAAACTAAAAAAACTTCATTTAAAACAAATTTTATAGTTAATCCAAACATGTAAATTTAATTTTCTTAATGAAATTCATTTGCAAATGAAAATAAAATTCCAGATGGATATAATTCCTTACACTATATCCTTAAGGAATTATCTCTTGCTCTTGATTGACGTAACAGAAATTAAAACTAATGTCCAAATGGGAAGATTAAAAAGCTCTTTCATCCTTATGATTCTATTGAAACACAACAGCATTCAAACACATTAAACACTCCAAAGGAAAAACGTTGCAATAGCACCATAACACCCGCAGTTCTGTAATAAATATATTTGAAAGCCTCCTAAATAACCTAGAAATTAATGATAAACAAGAAGTAAATTCTTTACAAAATAGCTGGGTGGTGGAAGAGAAACCAACCTCCAACAGGATTAACAAGCCGAAAAATTACAATTAAAGATTTAACTGACAAATAAGAGCAAACTCCAAGAGTAAACGGGTTATGCAAAAACTACCAATCAGATTATACTATTATGGAGTCCGTTGTCTAGAAAACTCAAGTCCTTTTCATTTGAAGCATAGAGGCTATCAACATTTGCAAAGGGAAAAAGGAAAGAAAAATTAAAAGGTGTAGTAGGAATATCTAACCAAGCTTAGTCCCAACAAGGATAATTGGTACTCCAGGTGCATAATGCCTCAATTCAGGAATCCACTGAAAATTGGAAAAGAAGTATAAAAAATTCATCAGCACATCACAGAATCGATCCACAAATAAAAAGATCAAAAAATGCTTAAAAATATACTGCTGTTTACACCTTCTTTGCAACATTTTCATAACTGGCCTTGCTAATGAGAGAGAAAGCAAGCAAGAAAACATCAGCCCCACGATAGCTCAAAGGTCTTAATCTATTATAATCTTCCTGGCCTGTCCCATTAAGCAAATAGATGAAGCTCATTATCATAAATATTCAAAGACAAGAACAGAAAAGTTACAAAGTGTAAACGTACCAGCAGTATCCCACAACCCTAGATTGACTGTGCTCCCATCCACAACCACATTCGCACTGAAGTTGTCAAACACAGTAGGCACATAGTCCTGTTCCACAAAATGGTAAAGAAATTTTTTGTCAAATTTTGTCTCAAATATGTATTGGTTTAAGCAGAATTGCACTGATAGAAGTACGTAACACGAAATCAGCAAGAAATCAATCATATAACAGAACTCCTATAAAACTATAAACAGAATACTCAAGGTTCTTTGAAACGATCAATAATTTGTATAACTTTCTATAAGTTCGAGTAAAGCCCAGGCTATAATCATCAATCACAAGTGTCAGCCTCTGGAGAAGGAAACTTTTCCATAACATCATTTTCTATAATGACAAAGGTATTGTTAGAGATGCAATTATGATATCTGCAGTTTTCAAATTAAGAAATTTTATTTAGTAGTTTCCTACTTTATTTTTGGTAGGAGATAAACTACTTAGTAGTCTTCTTATTTAATAGTTTCTTATTTTTCTTTTTGGTAGGTGATTTGCTATTTAGTAATCTTCCTATTTAGTTTTGTATTTCTATTTAGTAGTCTTCCCATTTAAATCTCATTATAGTAGAATTACTTTAAGTAGTACTTCTATTCCTCTATGAATTGAAGGATTTAATCTTGAACAAAACAAGCAGAATTATTTTCAATTAAATTGAGATCTAGACTCTCACTAATAAGCATAAGGTTAGATCTCCCTTTTGACGAGCCTAAGGTTAGAGCTCGAGCAAAGAACCGTAGTAAAACAAAGCTTTAGCTTTATGAATCAGAATTTATTATTAACAGGCCTGTGATGAGATCCTGGTTGTGGTGATCATAACAACTTGGTATCAGAACCAAGCGTCATGGGAGATACAATCAGTGAGATCAAATATCTTCTACAACAAGTACAGATCATAATGAAGCTCGAGCGGCCAATTTGAATCTTGACTTGAAACCCAGCTGTAGAACTCAACGAGTCTGATGCAGAAACTCGTTAGTAGAGCAAACAAAAATCAAATCTCGACTTGAAACCCAGATGCAGAAACTCCTTAGCAGATCAAACAGATATCAAAATAAGGGAATTGAGGGGCAAGCATCACATTCAACTTGGAAGCAGTTTTCAAACTTGAGGACAAGCTCTTTATCCAGGAGGTGAGTAATGTTAGAGATGCAATTATGATATTTGCAGTTTCCTAAATTAAGTTCTATTATTTAGGAGTCTATTTAGTAGTCTTCCTACTTAGTAATCTAGTTTCCTATTTTTCTTTTTGGTAGGAGATCTGCTATTTAGTAATCTTCCTATTTAGTACTCTTCCCATTTAGAAGTTTCCTATTTTATCTACAGTAGAATTATTTTCAACTAAATTGAGGACGAGCTTAAGGTTAGAGCTCCCTTTTAAGGAGCTCACAATTTTGAGCAACAATAGGTCAAGAAAAGAATCATGGTAAAACAAAAGCTTTAGCTTTTTGAATCAGATTTTATATTGTTAAAAAGTCCGTGATGAGATCCTGGTTGTGTGATCATAACAAGTATCTTGGTTACTAAGAAAATTAAAGGTTTCGGCTTCGAGCAGCTATTTGAATAAACTAAATAAATTTAATCATTTATTCTAGAAATGTAAACAAATGAAAGAATGTTAATCATTTAATCCAGAAATGTAAACAAATGAAAGAATGTTAATCATTTATTCTAGAAATGTAAACAAATGAAAAAATGATAAAAAGGAGGACCAAGAAGAAAAATGAAAATTTTTGAGAACCACAAAAAGGCTAGATAATTATCAATGTTGACAACCAGTAACAAAATTCTACTTATTTCATTTCAGGATTTCAGCATTCCAAGAAGTAACAGAACAAATATTCAAAGTGCAAAGTAAAATAAGAAAGCAAGAACCTTTAGGCATTTGTGCAGAAGGCCAGAACCAACAGATAGACCAAGAAAAAGAAATAGTTTACTCAACAAAAAACATTATTACAGCATCATATCTTCAAATTATAAAGTTTTTCAGAAAACTAGAAGAAAAATTTCCTGAGGAAACCAAACAACAGAGAACATTCAGATAACATAACAATGAAGACCCCTGTTTTTACCGGATTCAGTTCAAAACTAACAAAAACATAACCGTAAGTCAGTTTCCCAAAATTTATAGGATTAGATGATGTTACATAACAAAAATACATGAAAATAAAGCCACATCTTTATCATTATAGACTACCAATTATCACCGTAATTCTAAAGATTCAATATTCAATTAAGACCATCCGTTCAAGTTAAAATTCTGGACAACTTTTTATTCAATAGATTTAACGAATCACATAGACCCACAAAACAGACAGCCTGAATGTTCATTCGGATGTTGTCTTCCAATTGCAAATCACCTACCACCATAAAACCTATTTGCTTCTACATGGCTTAGTTGAACCTTCAATTGAATTTATCCATTTCAAAACAACAGCAAAATACAGATAGGAGAACATTTCTTTTGTTTCTGTTTCCCACATTTTATAACTAGTGAATCAAAGAAAAACCCCAATCTGAGGCTTCAATTAACTCTTATTAAGCAAAAAATAAAATCATGTCTTCACTAGACTAAATTCTTGGACAAAACATACAGGCAGTTGACCAATTCTCTTAACATAAGCAGAATTAACGTCAGCCAAAAAAAAAAAAAAAAAAAAGGTATCCAATTTTCAAAAAACAACCAGCAAAATAGCAAATGATAGGGAGAACATATTCTCTTTGTTTCTCGATTTCCATCATTTTTCATAACAACCTTCTACAGGTGAATCAAAGAAACAACACCCAATCTTGAGGCTTCAATTAACTCCTTATTAAGCACAAAAACTAAAAATCATGTCTTCACCTAGACTAAATTCTTGGACAAAAACATACACGGCGCAGTTGACCATTCTCTTACTAAGCAGATATTACGTCAAGCCAAAAAAAAAAAAAAAAAAAAAAAAAAGTGAAAGAAGAAAATCTTTTATCAGATTACAAAAATAACCCTAAAGCTTGACCTCTCTCAATGGAAAACTTCTAAAACAAAGTACGAGTAAACACAAATTGACTACCACCTAATTAAAAAAAAAAAAAAAAAAAAGGAAAGAAAGAAAATCTTTTATCAGATACAAAATAACCCTAAAGCTTGACCTTTCAATGGAAAACTTCTAAAACAAAGTAAACACAAATTGACTACCCCTAATTACTTCAACAAAGCATGGTTGACTTAACAAGGACATACCCAAAATAAGAAAGCATAAAATTCTTTTCATGTTTCCAACATTTTCTCGACAAACAAACAGAAAAAGGACCAAAGGAGGAAAAGGAAAAAAAAAAAAAAAACTTTAAACTTATTTTCGAAGACAATAATCAATTATTTTTTACTACAAAGCCCAATTGACCAGGCAATTACTTTCCATTTTCGCACATTTTCTCAAAGAAACAAACACAAACCCAAAAAGGAAAAGAGAAAAAAGAAAGCCATAGTTGGTTATACATACAGTAGGAAAAGTGTTGCTGGTGTAGGAGATGAGCATGCAAGTCTTGCCAACAGCACCATCACCAACTGTGACGCATTTAATGAACCTAGAAGCACTCATTTTTGTTTTCCTTTCTTTTCTTGGTTCTTTGTTTCAATTAGAAATCCCCAAATTTCGGTTCCTGAGCAAGAACATAGAGAAAAGAAGGGACCCCTCTAAGTAAGTAAAAGTCGGGTAAATTGAGAGAGAAACAGCGATAACAAGCAAGAAACCAAGAAATTGGATGCTGGGCCAAGAAAGAAAGAGGTAAAGAAAGACAGCTTCTGCCAGCTATAAATGATACAAAACAAACCTATATTTCCGGGTCCCCAAATTTCTACTCAACAACATGCATTCAGCACCCACCCACACCCATCCCTTTCCCTTTTATTTATTTGTTTTGTTTTTATTTAATAATCTTGGATAAATTTCTAGTATGTTTATTTATATTTTCAAATTTCTCTCCCTTGTTTATTTATATTATATTAAAAAATTATACTTTATCGGTCTCATTTTATTTACTTATTATTCATTTTTTAAAATATCTTAAAATATTTACAAGATTTTAAATTTATATACTTAAATAATTATTTTTTCTATAATAGCATTTATGATTGTCCATTAAATGGATGGTATTTATTAATATCTTAATGAATTAAGGGTAAAAAAAGGATAAAAAGATTTTGTGTGTGGACTAAATTCTTAATATGTGTGTTTTTATCGAACCATGCAAATTAAATGAGACAAAGGAAATATATATATAACTATTTTATTTTTAACAATAAAAAATTACATCAAATGATAATAAACTTTACACTTAATTCCAATTTGTTATTTTTTAATCATTAAATTTTAGTTTTTATTTGAAGTGGAACACATCCTCCAAAATCTAATGACAAAATACAAGAGGAAATATAATGGCTTATTTTCAATAGTGTTCCTCAATTTAGGGGTAAGCACTTCATCGCCACTCATCTTCAATTTGTTACTTAAAACTCTCTAATCTTTCACCTGTGTAATCCTAAGCTCCCTTTAGTTAATTTCCATCCAAAATATTTTTGGACAAATGACGTGTCTTGTCAAAATAAAAAAAAAATGCCATGTCAACTTGGTGAGTCACCAACTTTCATATCGATTTCTCTCTCCTCTTCCTCACTTTAATAAATCCCAACCTTCTCCTTTATCACAATAGAAAATTTATCCCCATCTAAATCAAACATCACCAAATTCATTTCCTCCCTAGTCTATAATAAAAGCTTCTCCTTCATCTCCAAATGAAACAAATGGATATAAAAACAAGCTTTAAAATTATTTCATTATTGCCACATCTGGTATGTTTTTGAACATAAATTGATTAAAGGGAGTTTAGTGTTACTGAAATAAAAGATTAAGGAGTTTTAAGTAACAAACTGAAGGGGTAAAATAAAAGATAAAGGAGGGAAATTTTTTTTTTTTTCAAAAATTAAAAGGGGTAAAATAAAAAAAAAAAAATCTTCCACTTGTTTTATTTAGATAGAGAAAATTTTTCTTTTTCGATGTTCTATTTATATAGATAAATTTATTTAATTCAGTAACTTTGAAAAGCATGTCAAAATAAATAGTCCATATTGCCCTTGTAAGCTTTAAGTGTGTAAGAATGATAAGGTAGTGGTAGAAGAAAAATTTGAATAGTCATGTAATGAGTTTATATTACCAAAAAAACATCTGTTTATAATTTCAATCCCCTCTCGATTAGTAAACATGCACTATTTCATTGTACGAGTATTGATGCAATTGAGATAACAATTTCAAATGACTGCAAAAATTTATATTATTTTTTTGGGAATTATTGCAAACTTGTGCACTAGTTTTAACATGTTTTTAATTTTAAAAATTAGTTAGCTATGTAAATGAGCAAAATCGGCTCATACACGCGCACAACTAGTTAAAACATAAGACAAAAGCAAACAATAGAGAAGTTGACTTCATAGAAATAGAAAAGTTTTCTGCAACTTATTGAATACTGCACACATTTGACACCCTTTTTAATGTTAGCAAATAATATTTTAACTTCTTGAGTAATATTTTCTTTTGTTTCATTTTTTTATTGTTTCTAGAAAACTATTGGTAAGTTGTATGATTGGATTGTCTATAGAAAAGAGTTATTTTTCCGTGGGCAAAGAGTTCAAATCTAAGAATACATTAGTGTATATGGACACATCTTTTGTTGAAAGCGAATTTGCAAAGACAATATCGAGCTTAAATTGCATTTGTGGATTCATCTTAATCTTTGGATGATTGGATTCAAGTTGTGAGCTCTTCTTCTTCATTTTACATAAGGTCGTTTTATGAAAGTTGAGGGGACTCTTTATTCTTTAAAAAATTTAATGCATCCCTCCTCTCTCACATGCAGGAGTGAGTTTGGATAGAAACTTAGTTAGAACTTAAGGGTTAATGGTCTTTTAAGGGTAAATTAAAAAAAAAAAAAAACAACAACAAATATCAATTAAAATACCTCCTTAATCTTGTGAGAATTCAGTTTTCTCTATTTAAATAGAAAAGATAAAATTCAAAAGTTTTTAGAAATTTATAAACTAATTTTTTTAAAAAAATCCAAAATTAATTATATTTTAGATGCCTCTCAACGCTAATAATTACAGTATTTAGTCTAATGCATTACAGTTTATGGAATTTAACAAATTAATTTTGAATTACAATATTTGACATAATTGCACATTGTATTCAACCAAATTATAGCAATTTAAGAAATTAATTAATTTTACAATAAAAGCATGAATTTTAATTATTTAATGACAAATCATTAAAAGTAGACTTCGTATTAAAATGGGAGATGAATTATTGTATGAAACTATTATAGATGCTAGGGAGTGAAAAAAAATCCTAGCCATCTCTCTCTCTCTCTCTCTCTCTCTCTCTCTGAAATAACCCGAATTTTTATTTTCAAAGATTTTTTTCATTTAAATTTAATAAATCGACAGCCTGGAAATTTATATTAATATTTTAGTGAGAAATCTAATTAATTTACAATTTAAAAGCATGAATTTTAATTAATTTAATGACAAAATTTTCAGTTAAAAGTAGACTTCCGTATTAATAATGGAGAATGATATTATTGTATCTGAAAACTATTTATTAGATTGCTAGGGAGATTGAAAAAAATCCCTAGCCTCTCTCTCCTCTCATCTCTTCTTCATTCTCTCTCTCTGAATCTGCAATAACCCGAATTTTCATTTTCATAAGATTCTTTTCATTTAAATTTAACTAAATCGACAGCCTGGAAATTATATGTATTGAATATTTTAGTGCGATCTACTGTGAGGAGTTCGAACCTGAAAACCCATTGAAAAGCCGAAAACAGTTGGAAATTCGAAGATTTGGCTGATCTTCGACCCCGAAATCGAACGAACCAGCCCAAACCAATTCTAAAACATTCTTTCCTTCCCCTTTATTCTTCAACGCTAATCTCCCTCACCTAAGTCAGTCTTGCGGGCCTCCTGACCACCCACACATCACCACCGACACTGCCACCGCCGTCTCCTCCTCCTCTCTTCTTCTTTCTTCTTCTTCTTTCTTCCTTTCTTTTCTTTTCTTTTCTTTCTTTCCCTTTTTCTTCTCTGTGACTTGGCATCTGCGTCGCCGCCCCAACACGCTCCAGCAGAAAATGCCGAGCCACCATTCACGAGCTCAGCCACGGTTCGCGCCACCTCGCGCTGTCCACGCTCATGCAGTAGGCTCCGCCATCGCTGGCGCCTCTCTCCGCTTCAAAGCCAAAGCAGAGGACAGGAAGGTTGCTCCTCGGATTTGCTTCCAGCAGTGAGCCGTCGATCCACGCAGTCTCCGACCACCAGTTAGGCATATCTGTCGCGCCGTGTTGCGCCGGCAGCTGCTTCCGCCACCAGGTCGCGCCACCACTGACAAAGTCAGCCCCTCCTGCGTTGATCTCAGGTGGTCCATCGCTTCCAGCAGTGTAGTTTCAATCCCGGTACGCGGTTAAATTCCCATCCTGCAAGGAAAATATATTTTTTGGGTATAGACATCAACTTTTATAATTTAGTTAATTAATTTAATTTAATGAATGTGTGTTAATTGATGTAGTAAATTTTTTTGATTAGTTAATGTGTAATATATAATTTTGGTATCGAAAAACTCCGAATTTAGTTAATGATTATTGAATACATAAGCTATAGTTTTATATGATTGTTATGGGTCTATATTAGATAGTTTAACTAGTAACTTGTGGAGGTTAAGCAAATAGCTATTTTTCATTTATTTGCTTATTTATTCATTTACTTAATGTTATATAGTAAGTTAAAGTTTGATATTAACAATTAAATATTGATGTGAATGTGTTGGATGGAGGAAGGGAAATAGATTTGTTTAATTGCCCGATGGATGGGCTGTGTGTATCGATTGAATGATACTTAGTGTTGTTGGGATATTTAAACAGGTTGATAGTCCCATTTTTAAGGGAGGTGCTGCCGAAATTTCGGTAGAACTTTAGACTAATATTAATTGATAACATAACAAATAAGTTTATTTAGATAATTTTTACAATTCGACACATAATAAATAAAGTGCTTTAACTACCATATCATTATCATTGTCTATTATTATTATTATTATTATTATTATTATTAGTATTATTTTATCGTTGTTGTTATTGTTAAGATTATTTGTTTAATTATTTAATTGCATTTGAGCATTATATTTACCATATATTATAAGTATTTTCTCATACATTGTATATAACTGTGCATTGGGATGAAATGGATGGTTTACGTTGAATGACTTGTTTGATTAATTGTGCTATGCATATATTGTGCTCTGTTTGTGTGGAATTGGGATGAAGTGGGTCACCATGGGTTTGTGAGGATGGTCAATAAATATGGATCCTGATGAAATTATGAAATTAGACTGTCGGCCGGGTAAATGGGAAATCGGCGCCCCCGTGTGCACCTGATGAACTGATGAAATGATGTTGATGATAAGAGGGAATGTAAAATAAAATATTGAGAGGACTGGTCAAGTGAGGATTAGATCGGTCGGCCAGATATGGGGATTGGCTCCCCAGGTGCACATGTTTGTGAGAGGATGGGCTGTTTGAGAGGACGGCTCGTCGGGGATTTAGGTGACGCCACTGACTAATTTCCACGTGATTGTGATTATTTGAAGGTGATTGAAGGTGATATTGTTTGTGAGTGCCGGTGACATGCCATTTTGTGTGACTGGCTGCGTGAGCATATACTAGTCGGATGACTAGATTGATATATATATATATATTTATACATTTGTGTGAATGTATGTGTTGTGCAATAATGTTACTCCTTAGAAAGCTCACATATCTTGTTTAATTTTCCAGGACGAAAG